TATTTTTATATGATTTATTTTAGATTGATGTTGATTTGTTTATGACTTTAAGTAATGAAGATTTAATTGAGATTGGTATAGAAAATGAAGCTGATAGAAAAACTATATTAAATGTTATAGCAGATTATAAAAAATCAATGGTATAGACAAATATTTATTGTTATTATTTTTTTTAATTTTATTTTGTTATTTATTTTGCATTTTTTTTTAACATGTAACATCTAAAAAATATTAAATATTATAATTATTATTATTTTTAATATTTGATATAATATAAATTATAAAATATTATTATATCTTTTTTAACAATGTAACATAAAAAAAATATTTTTTATATGATATTTATAATTTTTACTTATAAAAATGTTATTAAATTTAAATACGATATTGTTGCAATATTTGAGTGTTTTTTATATGAGATAATATTTTATTAATAAGTTCAGTTTTTTTCCCATGAGTATTATGTGAAATTGAATGTTTTTTTAACCAGTCACTTAAATCACTATTCTTCATCTGATCTAACTGATTTTTTTTTGCCATTTCTTCTACTGTAATATCTTGATCCTATATAATAAATTACAAAATAATTATATATGTTATATATATAATTTTTAATTTTTTATTAATAATATATATAATTTAAAATATAATTATACCTACTGTTTTTAATAAAAATGTAGTATTATCTTTATTAGATTTAGCTTTTGATAGTTTTTCTTTTAATGTTAAATGTTTTTGTTTTTCTTCTTGTATTAACTAAATATTTAAATAAATAAGATTATAAATAAAAAAAGAATAAATGATAAAATATAATAATAATTTGTAAAGAAAACATAAAAGAAAATACCATATCATTACAAGAATTTGTCTTTTGAATTTTAAAATATCTTGAAATTGTATTCTCCTTTGATAGAATAAAATGATCATTTGAATTTCTTAAAACATTATTCTTAATATAATTATCTTTTACATTTTGTGTACTATTTAAACATTGGCTTTCTGAAGTTTAAAAATCATTTTATAATTACTATTTTAAAATATTTATAAAAATATTTCATTATTTTGTATATTTTGTATATAATATGTACCATTTTGATTTTCTTTTGCATTTTTGTTAATTGAATCAATTTTTATATTTTCATGAAATTGTACATTATTAAATTGATGGATTTTAGTTAATTGTGTTGTTAAAGATGTTGCAACATTTGTATTTTTTGTTAATCCATCTGCATATTTATTAGAAAATTCAAATTGTGAAGTAATGTTTTCCTTTTCTTTAAGATATGTACCCAATTTTTTATCTTTTAATAATACATTAGATGATAAATTTATATTTAAAGATTTCTATAGAAAATAAGATATAATAATAATATAATAAATATATTTTTTTATTGTTTATATTATTTAATATACATAGTTTATAACTTACTGGAATAAATGGAGTATATTCAGATATTTGTAATTGTTTACCACAAACTGTAGGTAATTTCATAAGCATATCAGCTAAAAAATATGTAATTGTAGATTTTTTATCTTTATTTGGAATAATTTCTAATGGTCCACTTGCTATACACATATTAGGATATATGAAAATATTAGATTTAGGAATCAAAAATTTAATTTCATAAAATAAAATTTCATTTTTATTTTTAGATAAAGAATATCCATACTGAAATATTATGTACATATATAAATATATTGATGATAAAAATAATTTTGATTGTAAATAATATATATTTATTATTTGTACCATATTTTTCCAATGTCTACGTAATTGATCATAATCTTTAAAAACACATCTTGCTGGAAGTTCTTTAGATACAGATAATAATTTTCCTTTTTTTGTGCTATAAAAAATATTATAATTTTATTAATTATTATTGATATTTATACAAAAATAAGTCGAAAAAAATAACATTTGAGGCGTATTTTCAAAAAAATTGAATTTATTAAATTATTAAAAAAAAAATTTGGTTATTTTCAATATAAGTAATTTAATAACTTAGAACGTTATTCTAAGTATTTACGAAAATAATTAAATAATTAAATTAACAATAGAAAAATATTTTTTATTTACATTTTTATTTTCAAGATAATCAAAATTGAATAAAAACAAATACTCCTATATACATTGAATAAATTTTTAAATTTTTTATTTTTTTGAAAAATCTCAAACACGAAAAAATATTATTCTTTTAAATTATTATAAAATTATTTTTACATATATTTCTACATATATTTTCTATTATTCTATACTTCCTATCATATTTTGTATAAATAAATGTAAATAACATATAAATGAAAACAATGATTATTACCTTGGTAATACATATACGAATGGAGGATTATACTGAGATAAATCAATATATCCTTTAGGATCTGCTAGAAACTGAGATATAACAGATGACGGAAAATAATCTTCAAGTTTTATATATGGAATTTTAATTATTTCTGCATGAAGTTTTATAGATATATTCTTTTCTAAAAATTTGTTTAATATTAATATATAAAATTATATAAATAAATAAAGAATAAATTTGGCAGACCTTCTATAAGTATATCTAATTTCAATGCTCTGGTTCCTTGTATAAAGTTATAAAAATCTTTTCCTTGAACTAAATATTCACCAACTTTATTCCACAAAGGGGCTATTTTAGTCTGTATCGTATATATAAGACAAATTTTGTATAATTCTATTGTAACTGATCGTAATCCTTGATACTAATAAAAATAAAAATAAAAATAAAAATAATATATAACATAAAAATAATAATAATATATCATTCAAGAAATAAATCTTAAACAAACCACTAGTTTAAAATTTTTTAAAATTTTTAACAACTTTCCAGTTTCAAAAAATTTTTTATTCGCAATAACAAATATAAATTTTTCTGTGCCCATTACTGGTGAAGCAATAATATCAGAAATTAAATGAATAAGTAATCTAAAATTATAATATTATTTTAATATAAAAATCGATTATAAGTTAACTAATGCAAGATAAATAATATAATAAATAATATAATACTTATTCTTACCGACATTTCATTGTTTGCCAGTGAAAATTTGATTTTGCTGATGAATCACGAACTTCGATAAAATCAATTTCACAAATTACACAACATAAATCATTTATTTGCGGAAATGAAGCATATAAAATCGATTGTTCTTTTCTTTCATACATGATATTGCAAACGTCCATTATATAATTCTATAATTCGTTGTTTGTAATTATTTTGTATTCTTTTAAATATTTTATCGCGCGCAACTATAACTTTTTGAATTCAAATATATTGAGTATATTTTTGAATTTATTTTCAATATTAAGAATCTAAAAAGTACTAGTATACAATTTTATACAATTGAATAATACTTTTATTATAAAAAATATCGAAGTTTGAACTTTATTTTTTCGATTATAATTAAAATTCAATAATATTAAGTATATTTATTTATTTAAGATCAATTAAACTAATTTTAAGAAATTCTTGTACATATGATTTTTCATTTAGAGAATTATAAATCTATATTTTGGCAATCGGAATATATATCACAGATCACAGCCTACTTTACAAACACCAGTTTTACGTCATTTCATATCCCTTTCTCGGATTTATCAGTATCATTTTCGAACTTTTATCCCTATTTGGTCTTTCAAAGAATTTAACTTGGATTGCATTCCAAATATCTTTTTGTAAATTATTTCAGTCTACGTAAGTATAGTTGATATTTTTACAACTTCCTATATGTAAAGATATTAAGTAGATTTATAAATAATCAATATTTTATGATTTCAATATTGCGAGCCTCCATTTTGATGAATAACAATTAAACAGATTAATATTTTACTTAATATTTTATTTTTAGTATTAAATAAACTAATTTTTATCACATAACAAATAATAATATATTAAAATTTTTTTATTGTTTTTTTTTATAGGTTTCTACATAAAAATGCAGATCTTTGTTAAGACTTTAACAGGAAAAACTATCACCTTAGAAGTTGAAGCTTCAGACACAATAGAGAATGTAAAGGCTAAGATTCAAGATAAAGAGGGAATTCCACCAGATCAACAACGTTTGATTTTTGCTGGAAAACAACTTGAAGATGGTAGAACACTCTCAGATTATAATATTCAAAAAGAATCTACTCTTCATCTA